AAAAAAAAAAAAAAAAACACAGACAATCACTGTTTTCTATGGGTTCAACTATTTTTGATGTGAGAACGGACAACATGAAAAGTGGAAGCCAATTTTACACACGACAAAGACCATGGAAGGTGACCACATGTGCGTGTGGATCTACATCTATCTATATATATATGTGTGTGTATACATATTATAAATACATATATATATATATATATACACATATGTGTGTGTATGCATGCGTGTATGTATCTGTGTATGCATGTATGTATGTATGTATGTATGTATGTGTGTGTATGTATGTATGTATGTATGGATGGATGGATGGATGGATGGATGGATGTATGTCTGTGTGGGTTGTAGAGATGGATTGACAGGGCCTTTGGTGATAGGGCCTTTGGGACGAATTGTTTGTGCTAGGATGCTTGGGGTTGAAGTCTTTGGCCTGTAGGAAACGATGAGGTGTCCTTGAAAAGGGCGGAAAAATCAGCCAACTACAGCCCCGCGATGCGCGAAGTGAGTGCCACCAAGTCTCCAGATCCTTCACTTCCAGGGACTCCTCCTCAATTTTCGTCGCTGCTTTGGCTGACATTGCCTTCTCCAGCATAGCCTCTGTTGCTTCGACCTTCGCACGTAGCTCGGCAACCAATTTTTCGTGGCTCCGCTTCTCCTCTGAAAGCTGAAGGACCCCCCTGTCTTGGACTTGGGCAAGTTCTTCGCGATGCTTACTTTCTCCGGAACGGGCAGAGGCATCCAAATGCGCAAGTCGCGAACGCAGATCCTCGCCTTGCGATTTGTAGCTCTCACATTCCGATTCTAAACGTTCCTGCTCTTTGGCAATCGACTGCTTCAAGGCTGCAGCCTCCTTCCTCAGAATCAGGGAGGAATAGGAGTCTGCTTTCAAAGATTGATAAGAACTTTGCATGGAGGTTCTATGGAGGGAACTCGGAGACACATAAAAACACTCCTTGCCATCTGGGGCTATGCATGCTACCAAGCCCCAATGGCCCGGAGAACAGCAAGACAAAGAATCATCGGCCGACCCTACCATTGCAAAAGCCCTAACCCTTACAATTTCCACGTAATCTTCCACATTATTCTCCAGTTGATTCTCGATTTTGGTGGCTATATATCCCAAATTTTGGGAACGAACCTGAAAATGTTAAAACCCTGCCGTCTTTAAACCAGGCGTCTCTGTGGTGCCTACAGCCAGCAGAATCACCGGAAACTCATGCAAAACCCTCAACCCTAATCCCTACCCAAAACCCCAAAACCCTAACCCCCTCAAATCCTCCCCAAAATGCAGGCTTCAGCTGCGCTTGCTGACTCTTTAGCATCTCCTTCTCTGCTTCTAACACCTTCAGGCGCCGTGCCAGGCCATCCCTCGCAGCCTTAGGCCCATTGATTTGGTGACTCAGGGGTTAGGGGTTTGGGGCTTCTTGCTTAACACGACCTTAGGGGCTTGAGGTTCAGGGACTAGGGTTTAGGCTTAAGGGGATTAGGGGATTAAGGTTTAGGGTTTAAGGGTTTGAGGGTTTAAGGGTCTAGGGCTGTAGGGGTTCCAACACAAGCATCGCACTGCAGGCACCGCGGACCTGGAGTTAAAGATTTTGAAGGTTTGGGCTTCGGCCCAGTGGAAATGATCAAGAAGAAGTCAATTAAAACGCATGTCTACTTGCAGAGATATGCATGCAACACTATGTAAATCCACACCCGCAGATGTACACCCACACAGAAACATATGGACAAATACATCTCTGCATGTCCTGCTGCCACAAAAATATTCGACACAGTAGGTCCGTGTGGGTGGCCAGAAATCAAAGATCCCTGTTGCGGTGCCCCCATTAAAAGAGGTTCCAGTGTTCGGGGCTACGTAAGTGGACCCCCGATTCAGGAAATAACCATATGATCCATGGTTTCCATTTTTGTGGACACCCAAGATGTACACTCACCAATTTCCCTCAGCAACTCTATATGAACTTACCAATAACCCAACATCAATCCTATCACATCTACACAAGTGCATGTGGTACATATATGTATATAGCAAATCCCATTTCATTTGTTTGTTGTCATATGAGCCCTGGACTAAATTTGTAGTAGATCCCTTAAATCGGTTGCCCCATACCCCTCCATATCTCCCCTATTGGTCCCCACCAACCTAAATTTAGTCCATAGCTCATATGATTCTCCATTCTTGGGACAGTGATATGGTACTTTCCCCAAAAAAGGGGGACCCCAATATACACCCCTAAATACTATAATCCTCATTATGGGGACCCCCAGAATGGTACCCCAATATAACCCCAATGTAGCCCCAATGTAACCCTAATATAAACCCAAATTAAACCCCAATATAACCCCCATATAACCCTAATATAACCCTAATTTATGATATAGGCCGCCTCGGCCACCACGTAGCGCCGCTCGAGGCGGGCCAAGGCTTCGGGCACTTCGGGGCGTGCCTCCGGGGCGGGAGGAGGCCTCAGAGTTGAAAAAGAATAGGATGGGGTTCTATTAGGGTATATAGGGGCTATATTGGGATAATGGAAAATAAAATGGAAACTCCTATTTAGGGTTTAGGGGGTTTCCCAAAATTAGAGGTACCATTTACCCCTATAATGGAGAATCAAATGGAAAAGAAAATGGAAAATGAAATGGAAACTGAGGTTATATAGGGGTATATAGGGATTAGGGTTTCCCAAAATTAGGGGTACCATTTTAGGGGTCCCCATAATAAGGAGTATAGTATGTTTGGGTCTATGTTGGGGTCCCCTTATTTTGGGAAACTACCGTCATGGGGCTTCTGTACTACATACACATTTGCATGTAAAGTAAGACGACATGCTACTGCTGCTGCTGCTGCTACTACTACTACTACTACGACGACGACTACGACGACTACTACTCCTTCTCCTTGTCCTACTACTACTTGTTGTACACACTATGGTCCAGTCTCATGAAGTCATGGAAGTTTAGTAAAATATCCTGGGATCATTGTACTCTAGTATAATGGGATTATACCCCAGGGCCCCAGCAAAGAGCTGAGCATGCACTCAGCCAGCTGAACTTCCAAATCTTTGCTGCTGGCCTCAAGCATCCTGCAAGAAGGGGGAAGATTGTGGCTCTCAGGGATTTAGGGCTCGAAATGGAGCTTGACTCTAGCGGGGTAAGGATAGCATGCCCTCATTCAAGATACATGTTAACCAACTTATAACTTACAACTACTCATCAACCTCCGAGTCAGCCACTAGGCTACCTCGCAACGAAGAAGCGCGCAATTGCAGTCCTGTTCTCCTCATGGCGCTGCTTGCTCTCGCAAAGTGCATCCGTCAGCTGCTGGTGTTGCTCTGCATTCTGTGCTCGCAGCTGCTCCAGCTGACCGAAAAGATCATACTGGCTTACCTTCGACCTGTCCATCTTGGCTTGCAGCTCCATGCACCTTTCGCTCAAGATCCGAGTTTGCAAGCCGAGCTGTGCTTCTGCCTGGACGGACATCATGTGGGCACAGCTGTCAAAAAACACAAGATCTCTGATTCAAGCCTGCCTTTGCCATGTCAGCCATGTTTACTTCCAGGTCAGCACACCGACCTCATGGGTGGAGAAAACCCATCAAGCAAACACAAACCGACCCCCAAACCTAGGGCGCCATTGGCTTCGGATTCCCACTCCAAGCACCTGAAAGCCCATTGCACGCTGCGGAGCAAAGGGTGCGAAGGTCCAAGGACTTCAACCACCCTTTGGGGCAATACTCAGGCTATATTGTGGTTATATGGGGATGATGAAAAAGAAAATGGCAACTACTAAATTATAACAGGGTATATATTGGGGTTATACAGTTATACAAGCAGGGTAGCGCAGCCTGGTCCGACACAGCTGCAAATCCTGCTCCTCTCAGGCTCCGAAGCTAGCTCAAGAGCAAGACAAAGCTACCCTTAATGGAAAATACTTTAATGGGCTATATAAGGACTACTATGAGGATCCATTATTGGATGATTATAGGGGTTGCTCTCAAAATCATGGGCCCCTTTCGCGTCTAGATTAGCTTGCGGCACCTAATATTTAGGGGTACCAAAATGGGACCTTTATTTTGAGAACTACCCAGATGGCATGTTCAGAGGTTGCCTGGCTCGCGACGCGCGCCTGCCCAACCTCAGCGCATGGCCAAGCTACACTCCGTACGATATAACATGTAAACTGAACATGTACCATCATTTCATGTACAGCAACGCATGTACAAACGCATATGTATGTATAATCATATGTGATATGTACCACAAACAGGCATGTAATTGGTTTCGAAATGTATCATAACGATTTACTGTATACTAGTACGATCCATTGTCCTTACTGCCATGGTGTGCCTGCAGCTGAATGTCAGCCACAGCCGCATGCTGGCGAACACCTGTTGAAAGATGAATCTGATAGAGCAAGCGAACCTGGACCCTTAGCACCCCCAATGGGCTCTAAAAACCCTGAACACTAAACCCTAAAATCTTCACAAAGCTTCAAGAAGCCATTCCCTCCTTCCCCACAAAGAAAAGGCAAGTTGAGCCTGCTGGATGGGGCCGATCCTGTGCTGCCTGGGAGTTGCTAGGGTTTAGGGTTTAGGAATGCTTGGGTTTCAGGAGCATGTTTAGCAACTGCATGGCTTCACAGCACCGCAAGGTCTGTTTAGGAGTGCTTTGGTTTTACAACGCCTTTCCCCCTGCATGGAAAGCCCTACTGGACAGGCATAACTTGTCCCTGATACGTCCCAAACAAGAGGCATGTAAAACCTGCAGAGGCGAATGACATCCCAGCTCAGTCGGATCCCTTTCATATAGGGGCTATATTGGGGTTATATTGGGATAATGGAAAAGAAAATGGAAACTACAGGGATTATGGGGTTTATATATGGGATATATAAGGGTTCTATAGGGGTTATATTGGGATAATGGAAAAGAAAATGGAAACTACTATTTAGGGTTAAGGGTTTAAGGGTATAGGGTTTAAGGTTTAGGGTTTCGCTGCGCCCCATTCCCTAGGGTTCAGGATTTTCGCTTTTGCCACTTGCATGGCTCTTAATTTTGGGGGCTTACATGGAGTCTTAACTGTTTTTCTATTACTCCTGTTCTTACCAATATCATTAATGTTACCATTCACCATGGTTATTATCATTACTATTCTTACAAAAATTACAGGGCATTGGTGACAACCGAGTGCCTAACAGATTCGTTGGCAGCCCTGGCAGCAGCTTCGCGCTGCAGCTGCTGGAGGTGTAGCCGATCCCTCCTCCATGCAACCTGCAGAAACTTTGGGATTTCCCAAAATTAGGTGGGTTTAGGGTTTCGGGTTTAGGGTTTGGTTTTAGGGTTTCGGGTTTGAAATCTAGGGAATATATTACCCCCCAACAATGCAGAATCAAATGAAAAAGAAAAATGGAAAATGAAATGGAAACTGGGATTCTAGGGTAGTTTAGGGGTTGGGGGTTTCCCAAATTAGGGGTACCATTTTGGGAGTCCCTATAATACATTGGGATTTCCAGAATTGGACATCCCTTTTTGAGGATCCATGTAACAAGTATGCTCGTAGTTTGGTGTGGATGTAATGAACCCTAGGTCATGATCGGTGGAAACTCCAACATGAGAGGGAATGCATCTACAAGCTTCTGGAGACTAGGGTCACATTATTCCCTCATCGCTGATATGGTCCTTGAACAAACATCCCACACGGACCCAGAAGGGCTTCAGAAGCCACATGGTGCGTCTTATGTCATGTGCGAATTTCCATCGAAGGAAGCGAACATGGCAACTACGATCTGCGAGCGGCATTTCGAAACTGGGATACGCGTCATTCCGCCAAATGCTGTACTCCTTAAAACAGTGATCCTTAAAACGGCGACACTCGAAAAGAGCACCTCTAAGCCTCTAAGTTTTGAGACCCCCATGTACAAAGATAACATTACTGCAGCCGGCTGCAAGGTAGGGAGTGCAGGAGAAGAACCTTAACCGTGCCAGCCCCTGCATCTCATTTTTCTTGTCTTGCACATCGCTCATTCTCATTCCCTATTTATTCATGGCAGACCCCAACCTGCAACCCTAAACCCTAAATACTAAATGGGATGGGTAGTTTCTACCCTTACTTCCAGTCCACTCAACACATTGCAGCCCAGCCCCGGGAAGACTGCCTAAACTATAGTAGCTTCCATTTTCTTTTCCATTATCCCTATATAACCCTATACAACCCTATATAACCCTATATAACCCTATATAACCCTATATAACCCTATATACCCCCATATGCTTAGCGTAGCGCAGCGGGTGCCTTGATCTCTGCCGCCTCGCGCTCTGCCAAGCTGTTAGCCTATGCCAAATGGGGGTTGACCTAAAGGTCCTACTATATGGGTTATATAAGGGGCTATATCGGGGTTATATAGGGATAATGGAAAAGAAAATGGAAACTACTTATGCCAAATGCAGCTTCTCGGGTTCTTGTTGGCATCGTAGATACAGTTATATCGGGGATAATGGAAAAGAAAATGGAAACTACTGCTATATATATATATATGTAACCCCAACATACTATAGTAGTTTCCATTTTGGTTTCCATTATCACGGGTTGCGTTTGTTGTGTTTTCTTCTTGTTGCTCTTCTCCTTGAGGTTGCTCCCTTCTCCTGGTCGAGCCTCGCGGTTCAAGCTTAGTCTCAAGTAGTCTTTGCAGCCATGGCAAGCTTGTGTCTTTGAGTTCCCAGACACAGGATCTCCTGGGAAGTTCTAAGAGCAGCTTGGTGAATCCAAGCGGGCCCGGGTTCCTGTAATAGAGATAAGATATAAATAACAATAATAATAGAAAAAATATCAGAAATCTAAATTAGAATTAAAAGTAGCAACAATACTTGTAACGATATTAGGATTAATAATCATCATGATAACAACAATGGTAATAATAAGGGCTTTTGGCCTTCAGGTCTGCGAAGCCTTGGGGAAACCGGTGTCAGACAGCGGCCGATGTACGGCTACACCGGGTATATCATGGTACAATAAGGTATATTATGGTATACTATAAGATGTTAGAGTAGAATAGGCTATGTGAAAGTATAATACACTGTATTATAGTATCTCAAAGGAAGGGGGCTCATCCTCTCCATGTTCGTGTTCCGTGGATTTCCTTGCCACGCTGGGCTATGTTCATCATCAGAAGGTGCAACGACTTCTGAAATTACGTTTCGCAGTATGAGAGCAACAAACCAGTCCAGCTGTTGGCTCAGCCAGCAGTGTTAGGTCCCGAGTGCTAAGCACAGTGTCTGAGGGGACAATGCGCTAGCACGTTTCTCGTTGAAGCCTTGTTTCGTGAACGGATGTGCTGCGTGCGGATACAATGTTTTTGGGACGATCGGGGGCCCTGCTGTTCGCCATGATGGTGCAGCGAAAGATAGACGGGGGTCGGGCTGCCCAGGGCTGGCCGGAGGGGTGAAAAAAATGACATTGGGGGTCTAAAAAAAGGGGTCCCCCACGTAACTCTCGCTTGAAGATTGCCACCAAGGTTTTCTTGCATTCCTTGCCATTTAAAACTGATGAAGAGACGCGATCCTTCTATTTTGACGCTGATTGGCAGACATGATCTTTCACAGAACGGGTACCAAAGTCCTACCTCACATTGGATTGGAGTGAGTCAGGCTTAGCACTCCTAAGACAGCTTAACATCTGGTTTGGTTTCAAGCAACTTCACCTCCAGGCTGCCAGTTTCACATAATCCCTTCTGCAGAGAACGCACCATGCCAGATCCGTCTGGAATGAATTTTGTTCTCCTCCCTTCGTCGTCGTCGCTGTCGTCTTGGCCTGTTGTTGTCATCATCGTTGTGGTTGTTTCGGGCGGGTAGCGCGCTCAGTGTTTTGGCAACTTGCATGGCGCAGAGCACAGCCAGGCAAATGCCGGCCTCCGGTTACTACTGAACCAAAAGGCCCGGCAAACAAAACCCTCAGCAGGGGAGTGCTTTTCCAGAATCGGAGGTTGCTCAAAATAGCGGGCTTGAGGGAATTTAGGAATATATGAGACTAAGGAGACCCCTCGTGATATTGTTGACAAAGTCCCACATGTCAACATATGGCTTAACACATGCTCATCCGGCCTGGGCTAATGCGGCCACTTCCTCCAGAAGTTCCTTGCCACGAGGGACCTGGCCGCCCCCAAGCTATGCAATAGCAGAGTCAAGAGACCATATTTCCGCCTCCAAACGATACTCCTTCTATTAATGACTCCTAAAGGAAAGAGACTATGAAAACTGCTGTGCCACACGCTGGTTTTCATAGTCTGCGCTGCAGTGAATGAAAACTACCATATGTGTTTCAAGAGCATCCGGTTTCCTTTTTGGGTCATTGCAATAACAAAGCTCATGAATGCGTAAGGGCTACATGCATAAATACGCTACAGTAGTTTCCATTCTATGTTCCGTATAACCCCTACATAACCCCTACATACCCCCAATATAACCCCAAGTGCTTTTAGAAGCTGAGGCCATGGCCTCCAGAGGTTCCACAGCCTCCGGTGCTTCCGGTGGCTCTGATGCCTCCCCATCCTGCTTG